ATTGTGAAACGGTATATAATTGTATAATTTCTGTGTGTAAACTGAATGCTTGGGCTTTCAATACAGTATTCATATAAAGCAATAAATATTAATGTTATGAAATACCTGAGTACATTTTTATCAGAATTGTCCCTTTTTGGTTTTAAACGCATATACCTGAAGTACAAAAATGACCTCTAAAATGCATGCTGATAGTTTCTTGTACTACATGATATGCTTTGTATAATTTAGGAGAAATCTAGGTTTCGATTTTTACCAGAATAATTTGGCTCGGTTGGAGTATCATAAAGTTGTTTCTTGCAGACTATCTATCAAGTTCTAAGCAGACAGGATTCAGGGAGACGCTTGCCAAAAAAAAAAATAAAATAAAAAATAAAAATCCTATTGAGATTCCCTTACAGAAGGAAAGTTGTACTTTGAGTCATTTTCATTGTGCTGAAGGGTTGGATGTGTATTATAAAATTCAGGGACTGAACCAAAATGTTGGAATTAGGGAAGTTCAAAAATGTAGTAACATTTTACATTTCTTATTCATTTCTTGGCGGGGAATATTTTGCCAGTGAGAACAAAATTTTAAATTTTCTAAGTTTAGAGATTTCTGAGTTTTTCTTTAGAATGTTTATTTGTGGAGATGTTGTCAATAAAATTGTTCTTAAAGCACCTGTGACCCACTGATAAGTTTGTTTCGGCAGCACTAGTGCCACAGTCATAAAGACTTGAAGAACTTTGAGGTATGGATCCATTTGTGTATCTGCCAATATTACTTATTTTTGTTCAATAGCTAATAAAAACTGAAATAGTGATTTAATGTCACAGTAAGCATCTTAATACTAAATACTGTACCTACATTTAAAGGCTGCATATACTATTTCTTTTTTCCCCAAATTGTCAGAAGCACTGTGTGCCACTAAATATACAGGCAGCTACTTCTCAGGGTGAGTGGAGCCATGGTGTTGAATTTATTTTCTAAATCTGGGTGCTTAGTTTTGTAACTACATGTACCACACAGCAATGTTTCTGTATACAGAGATTTAGACAGACTCGGTCATTCTGTTTCCATTCATGAAGGAAGTGTGTGGTTAAACCCAAGAAACCACAGAGCAGGTGCTTTATATCGTTCACAGGTGTATTTCCTATTTAAAAACAAAACTATTATGTGGAGTTAGAATATAAATGTGATGGAGTTCACTTCTCAGACTGCAAGGTAAAGGTCAGCCCTCACCTGGGCTCTTGACAGTAGAAAACAACAAAACCCACAGCAACATACTTAGAAAAGTTCATTTCCTGAAAGTATCAGATTTCTCTGTCAGCCTTGATTTCTAACCCCAGGAAACTCTGAAGTTTTCAGTACTCATAGCTTCCCACTAGAGCATGTATTTGGTGTTTTAAGTATTAGGATGCTTATGGTGCTTGTAGATACTAGCACGCTGAAGTTAAAATGTTCAAAAAAGTCCTGGAGTCCGAGTCCTTCAGTGAGGGGAGCAGTTTGCTGCAATTTGGGGCTAATTTATTCTGCCAGGCCCAGCCTGCTGGTGGCTGCCCTGCTGCTGCCTGGCGCCCATCCCAGAGGTGGCCGGGGTCCTGCTGGGGCCGTGGTGCTGCAGGAAAATCTCACAGGCTGTGGTCAGAACAAAGATTGATGTTCTTGTGCACGGCTGTCTGAGTTTGCGTGAAGATCTGAGGCCAGGATTAGCACTTTTTTGTATTGCTCACGAGGCCCTGGACAAATTTGGATTGATTTTTTAAACCCTCTTGGGTCTGCTGCTAGCTTGAACAAAGTGTGTGTGTACATATATATAATTAAAAAACTGTGTATAGAAATTTTTTAAGGCTAAGATAACCTCTACCTGTAGTAGCAAAAGTCTCTGTTACTTTTTAAAACCTCTTAGGAGGAAATATTCCTTGCTGGAAAACTGACTTGGAATTGCACTTCAGTTTATGCATAGCCTAAGGGATGCAGAAAACTGCGACCTGAAAAAAAATATGTCCTGTTCTGCTTCAGTCTGTGAGCAAGTTTAAGATTATTTATGTCTATCCTCCGGATGGGCCCGGGCAGGGCCCCGCCGGCTGCAGCCACGGCCGGCGCCACCTGGCGGTACCGGGCCGCTCCTCAGGGCCCTCAAACACGGTCATAAAACAGAATTAGGATAATTACCGAGTCCCTGCGGACCCCCACAGGGAGAGGCAGCCCCCGGGACCCCGCAGCGAGGATTTCACCGAATATTTAAGATAAATTATCTTGGCAGCAAACTAAGCTGATATTCCTCTCCCACACTAGCGAGAACAAGGCTGCTGACAGACTTCCTGCCAACAATTCTCCTGCGCACTGGAAATCCTATTAGTTTAGCCTGCCACCCCAGTTTTCTGCCTGTGAGACTAAACAAACCCCATCCTTCCAACCTTCCCTGGTATTATGTGTTGTTCTGAGCCATTGCTCTTCTCCCAGTTGTCTCCCCCTTCCTTAAATTGACAAATCCAAATCAGGACACAGGATGCCAGCTGGGGCCTCCCAGGCGCTGTGGAATAATGCCTCCCCTGTGTTGTATATATGTCTCCAAGTGATATTTGACTGTATTCAATTTGTGGTCCACCATAATCTCCAAGTCATTTTCTGCCCAAGTTATTTCTGAGCCATGATGTCCTGTGGTGTGTATTTGATTTTGCCTTAAGAGTTCTGTTCTGCTCTTGTCTCCCTTCAGCTGTCTTCCAATTTTTTGTACCCTTTCTAATTTTTTTTTAGATTTCTTTGAATTCTTGTTTCATAAGGTCTTTATAAGTGCCTCTCACTTCATTGTGCTCTGCCTTCTCTCTGGGATATTTATGCTATCGTGCCATCTTCTCTGTAACACAGCTGAATCCAGAGCAGATACCTGCAGGAATCAAACTGACCTTAAACCGTGCTGGGATTAAGGGTAATGAAAGGGCTAATGAAGGCAGAAGGCCTGATCTTTATCTTAACAATCGAGCTCTACTTTTGCATCATTAGTTTGTATTTAGTCAAAAAGCACAGTAGGTTGTGTTAGGGCCTTCAGTGACAGAAGTGCATGTTGGTATTTGTGTAGTAGAAGCAGGGCTCGCTCTGGTGGGCTATGTGTGAACTGTGGCAGCCAACAGCTCCAACTACAGCTGTGTCACTCCTGCTGCCCAGGCTGGTCTGATCCCTCACCATGACACTCAGGTTTTCAGACAGTTTTAGCTCCATTCACCTCTCACTGTCACTACTGTATTGCAGTAATCTGGTAGAGAGATGCCCTGGGACTGCCTGGCAGCAGAGCTACCAATGCTTGTGAAACGGGCCTTTGCAATGTGCTTGGTGATGTGACATCAAATGAACAGAGGTAGTCACTAGAAATGTGTCGGAGTCAACACAAAAACGTGTCAGCCTGAGAGGTGCTTCCAGAGGTGTCCCAAAAGTCTTCAAGATCCACATGTTAATGTTCACATGCCTCTGAACACTGATCACAGAAGAGGGACGAGGAAAGGGAGCTCAAAAGCAGGATGGGGAAGAGGGCTTTTCTTGTGCAGTTGCTTCTCAGCTCTCCATTTCTGTGCAGTTAAACGATTCTGTTTTCTGTGGGACACCCGATAAAAGGATTCAAAACAGGCTGCAGACTGGCAAACAGCACTTCTTGAAGTTTTTAACTAATCCTGTGGAAAACAAAAGGAGTGCAACGAGAAACCCGAGAGAGGCAAATGTGGGGTTGCTCTCTGGAACACGAGGGTAAGCAGGAGGAAGGATGTGAGGACCTGAAGGCGAGAGGCCTGGCAAGCCCCGCTCCCTCCGGGCCAGGCGCTGCCGGCAGAGGGCGCTGCGGGCCGGGCGCGGCGCCGCCATTTCCTCACGGGGGGCAGCCGGGCCCCGGGGGGCTCCAGCGCGGCGCTGAAGGCGGCCGCTGCCGAGACCCTGTCAGAAATTACCCGCTGGGGAATTAAACCGACTCCCCCCGATCAGGGGGTCGGCTTCCGAGCTTGTCTCGTTTATTTATTGATTTGGCTGTGTTTTTTACCTCACAAACCTGGGGCGCTCGTGCCGTCTTAAATCTTGCCCCAAACTTTTTAAGTTTCACACCTTTGCACGCTTTTAGCCTGCACCCTCCTTCCAAGTGAAAGATAGGCGGCCTCGGTACTAACCCATGCCTCCAGGAGGTGGAGCTTTAGAGTAAATAAACGCTCCGATGTAGCATTTACAACACAGAACATGTACCGGGATGGTACAGGGGTACCGCCCTGGAAGGAGCATTTCGGAGGCTTTGCTCCTTCCCAGCCCACAGGTGGAGGTGCTATGGCTGCAGGCTACAGCAGGGTGCTAGTTAAATTCCTCTTTCTTCAAGCTGGACCAGTCCCGGCAAGGATTCAGAAGCAGTGTGCTACAAGAAACTGAGGGAAGGGACACGGTGTGCCACATCTGCACCTGTGGTCGTCCTCTTGACAGTCCTCCAAGTTACACAAACAATTGCAGCAAGTGGAAGGGGTCTCGTGAAATCACTTTGAATAACAGAAAGCTTCTCAGCACGATGTGCTTCCAAAAGAAGGTTATGATCTATTCTTTCTGCCCACAGTGCTTAGGAAGAGGAGTTAGGGATTTAGAAGACAATTGAGAAAGAGGCCAGGTGCCAGGGTAGTTGTAAGTGATGCAGCTGATGCTGTCCCAAGATAGTTTATTTTTTATCTCTTATTTTCCTTACCTAAAGCATTTTCAACTCTAGTTTCAGAAGAGATGTGATAAAGCTCAGTTGCTTGAGATGTTTTAGACAATTCTGCTCTCTCAGGTATTTGCCTGTCAGGATTGTTTTTTTCTTTTCCCGGTGTTCTTCATAAACTATTTCATCGCATTTCCCCAAGATATACTTAAAAGTTTCCTGGTTCTTCTAGCATGCATTTTTAGGTGCCAAATCTTTCCCCTTGGAGCCACTCCCCTCACCTGTTTCATATTTACTTTTATCTTTGCTTATAAATCAATCCCAATTACTTTGGGTGCTCTTTTCTGAACTTGTGGGTCTGTGTTCCACTTTAGTAATAACTTGTACAGATGCTAAGGAGGCAGGCTAGGTTCTCTGTCAAGGTAAATGACTGTTTATGTGTAAGACAGAGAGCGACTCCTACTTTCCACTGGCACTGGTTATCTCCTTGGGAACCTTAGCGAGGAAGGACTGTCTGTGTTTACATGGGCCTCACTCCATGCAGTTTCCACACCTAGGACCCTGCCTTCAGATGTGATGGTGCCAGGGCCTCCTCACCCCACACCAGTCCCAGGTAAATGACTGCACACTCCATGTTTTATGCTAGGAAGTGATTCATGTAAATCCAGAACAACTTGGGAGCAGGATGTTGACATCTGTCGTTTCCCAACTGAAGTAACTGCTCTGATCACTGTGCTTTTGGGTGATGCCCAAACCTGCTCTTTTTTTTTTTCTTTTTCTAAATGCATACAACTCTGATTCTCCGGTTGTATAGGGAATAAATTAAAATCGTGTGGACAATACAAAACTTTTGTTACTACGAGGCATTTCTTTCTATGTAATACTGTAGTTTACAACAAAATCTACTTTCAACAACAGAAGAAATGCCTTGCTTTGTTGGTGCTCTAGGAATATCAGAATACCTCTGTACCTCTCAGAGTCTTATCAGCTTCTTTCTACTTCTGTTCCTTTGATTATTTATTCCTTTCTACATTCTCTTTGACTTTCAACTCAGTCAAAGAGCTGTGCTTCATGTACCAAAGGCCCTCCTCTTCAGATCTCTCTTTCTAACTGCAGGTCTTGGCTGTCTTGTTTAAATATATGTACTCAGAGGGGTCTGTGTGTGGCAAGGACTAGAACTAGGTGCAGAGTCTTTGTTTGGAAATCTGGCCGCTACGCTGCTAAAATAGAAGTCTTGGCTATGTGATCCGCGCGTTGTTCTCTAAACACAGCAGTTCTGCATTACTGAGGTACTCTTGCAGGACTCTGTTGTTTCACAACCCTTGGGCAGGCTTTCTCAGAGTAAATACCCTCTGTAGGCACGTAGAGCTGTCTCGTGTCTTTGTGTCTGAACCTGGAGAATTATCAAGTTATTCTGTAGTTGCTAAGTTGCTAGCTTTTAAACATGATTTTTTTTTCTTCCCATCCATTTAAAATGTTTACAGTGGAAACTTCAACTTTAATAGTACTACATTCTTGCATGATTTTTAAATAATAAAATTAACTTCCAATTTAGGAACATAATGCAAAACATTAACCTAATCTTTGCATTTTTTTCAACATTTCTGTAACAGGGTCAGTATTTTTGTAATGCCTAGCAGCGTATCCTCAGGCGCTTATAAAATAGGCTAGTCACAACTTTCTACAGTAATACAAATAAAGCTAGAAATAAAAAAAAAAAAATTGTCGATGAGAAAGCAAAGACTTTGAAATCAACCCTTTTCTTCACATGAGTATGTAGAGAAGATCTTCACTACTACCATCTAATTTCCATCAGCTGGGAGTGTGCCTGCCAGCTGGTAGCAGTAGAAACTCGTCAGCCTCACAGTACTGGGGAAGGATAGAAAGAGGCTGGGCTTCTGCAAAAAATAAAAAATAAATAAATAATTTTCTCTTGTTTCTGTAGGGGTAATGATGATGATGTCTTGTCCTTGACCTTCTTAGTGAAAATCAAGCTGCTGTTTTCCATTCAATGAAACCTGCCTTTTCTGGTTTTGCCAGAATGAAAGCTGTGAGCTGTGATGCATTACTAAAACGGCTGGGACGCTAACCAAGCAGGTGAGAGATGTGGGTTTGGAAGGAGAGAGGGGAGCAAGACTTCTAATAACAATACATTGTAATCCTGGGCACAGGGTTGGGTGCCTTTTGACCAAGGGGGGATTTTAACTGTAGGCCTCATCTCCTTGGTCATGGGGCACCCTGTGTGAAACAAGAGGAAAGGACCGTGGAGGTGCTCTGATGAAAAGCATCTGCTCTTCACTGGGGCTGGGGAGGTGCACCCTGCTCTAATGGGAAGGAGAAAAGAAGTATGGCTCTGAAATGACTCCAGCTGAATTGGGGCTGAGTAGTTCTGGTCTGGCCAGACCTTCAGATCACAGAAAGATCAACAGCCTTCCCCTCAGTGTTATTTGAAAATGGTCTGTCATGTGTTAGTTGTTTGTGTGTAAGCCACTGCTGTCTTTTAGGAAGCTGCAGTAGCTTAAGGAGTGCAACATCTTGAGGGAGCAGTGTGGCTTTGATCAGCTTTTGTTAATGAGAGAAGGAACACAACTAGCACACTTGCTTCCAAACAGAAGTATATTTTCCTCATGAGTCATTAGCAAGCAATTTTGCAGTGGTTTCTCAGGCCCAGCACAGAATTGTTGTGTTACCATTGGGTTATGCAGAAAGTAACAAGGTGACCTTGGGGAAGTGGAGTACATTTAAAAAAAAAAAAAAAGGTATGAACCATGTGGTTCATGGAGCTTAAAATAAATGTTTTGATGTTGTGCAGGTGAACTGAAAAGCACAGGCAGAGGAACAGGTGAGCTCTCTTGCCAGCCATCTGGTGCATCTGTGATCTCCAAAAGAGCCGTGCAACAAGTGTCTGAGCTCGCTGTATGTGACCTGGTACGGCTGCACAGCCAGGAGAAACAAGTATCCGGCCATCAGGTGTGATAGCACGACCTACCCTGTGTGCTCCCCGACTTCTGCTGCTCCGTGTGCCTTCCAGGCCTGGGCAAGTACCGTATGGATTTGTTCTTTTTATGTGGCATTTTGCTGTCAGACCTTGCTTTGATTTTGGTGTTATTTTTAACTGTGACTTAGGTTGGTTCCTAGCATGTAGGAATAAATAACCAGGTTTTGCTCTTTCCAACTGAGCTGTGAATAAAACAGCTCATCTGGGATAGCAGCAGCTTCAGCTTGCTTGTACATCCTGAAACAAACTGGGTTTGATCTGTGAACCCTAGAGGGGTCTTAGGTGTGAGTCCTGAATTCTTTTTCATGGGGTTAATTAAAAAGTCTGAGAGAAGTCAGCCAACCTCCTGTGGCTGAAATGATTTCCCCATGTAGCACCTTCTGCAGGGATAAATCTCTGTTGCAGATGTATCATTCTTCTGCAATTAGTGGCAGATTGCTAGCTGCTGTGTCTGGCACTCCTGTGCGTGCTCTCTGTTTGAGAATGGAGCTGAAACCACACGAGCTGCTCGTGCGAGGCTCTGGCTGCTTTCATGCGGTAGGTATTTGCACTTGTGGGTGCCTAATGATGCTGTGGAAACTTGCAGGGTGATGCCAGGCACTGCTCAGCTGCACTTCTGTAGCAGTCTGCTTGGGGTTTACACTGCCACAAACACATTAGTGAATTTCTCTTCCTCCATCAGGCTGCCTGGTAGAGCGAGTGCTTTAGGCAGGAGTCTGTGGGACACGTGCTGCTCAATGGGCTCTGCCCTTTCCCACCAAGCCCTGGAGTTCTCCACTGCACACAGAACTGGAGAGGGCAGGGCAGCACTGGACAGATGTTAAGAGCAGCTGGTAGTAAACTGACACTTTGAGTTAACACTTGGAGTGATCGATGGACAAAATCTGAGAGGTCAACCGTAAGATCTTTGATCAGACAAACTCACGAGAAGGACACACTTGACAGGAATGCAGGATTAAGCCCAGTAAAAACAGTTTCTAAAACTTTATCTTCCTAACAAACTTCTCTAATGCAGAACTCTGAGTCTTGACATGTTTTATGATTTGTGATTTGTTCTATAATACAGAGCAAATTCTTTCCCCCTTTATACAGCTGTATTTAAGAGAATTTTATGCAGCAGCCTCCTGGTTTTAGAAGTGATAATATTTATTTGATGGGGAATTTGGCTGACTGTGGCAGCACAGCCTCCCTTTTGCTATCTAGCTGTTATGCATAGCAATGCCAGTGCCAAGGGTTGTGCTCCTGATGAACTTGTGTACATCTGGTACTTTTTAAGCCTCTGGGAAAACAGAAACTTTTTTTTTTTTTCTTTTTTCTAATGGCAGTTATTTAAACTAAGAAGTGTAAGAGAAACTTATGATGTGGAAAGCAGTGAGACAATAAAAGGGGAAACTGGAAAAGGGGTGAAAACGTGTGTAGATCAAATAGTTTGTGGTGGAGTGGGAATCCAAACCTCTTACTTTTGAGGAAAGAGGGCTTTGCTTCCCAGAACTCGGAGAATAAAATACTGTTACAGCATTACCCTGTCCTTAACCGTCAACTGACACGAGGCTGTTCAAAGGATCTGAATTTGTGTGTGGTGTTTGCTAATCTAAACCTACTGCAAATGGATGAAAGAGCTGGTTAGCTTCTTGTGTGAAAGGTTACTCTGTAGCTGAAATTGCTTTAGGTGGCTCAGCTGTATTTTGTCAATAAAATGTGCCATCAGTGGAAGAATTGGCAGTAAAGTAGCTTCTGCGTGCTTAGCAATGGAGAGCACGTTTGAAGGGCAGCAGTAGAGTTTTTGGTAGATGCAGTCAGCAATTGTATCATTACAAAGTCTATTTTCTGGGATTTAGAGTTTGAATGTGTTTAATTGCAATGGGCTGATATGATTTACAGCTTGGATGTGATTTTCTTCATCTATTTTGGCTACTTTATAGTGAGCTCTGTGCTGCATATGAGTTGCTATGCTAGAGGGAGTTCGGTGGGGGGAAGAAAACAATGTGTTCCTAATATATTAATGTGTGTGTTAGGAATGCGCCCTGTAATATCTCTGTAAAAGTTTATTGAACGTGTGGGGGGGCTTGGCATGGTGCACGATGTCAAATCTTTTCCATTTCAGGTAGATGAGACAGAAGGAAGGCTCTTGCCAAGCAGTGAACTTCTCAAAAACTCAAGCAAGTTTTAGCCTTGGCTTCTGTCCCCAGCTCAATCCCGTGGGCCAGGTTGGTCTTCGGTGTAGCTCTGCCTTCCTGGGAGAGCTGCCTGACAGTAACGCTGTGGGCTGATGCCTTGCTTCTCATGTAGTTATTTTTTAGAGTGAGAAGGGATGGACATTGAATGTAAGGGACTGGAAATCAAGAAGTCCTGTATCTGCTTCTTTGTTTGGACATAAACTTTCTATGTGTCCTGGGGCAAACTATTTATTTTAATTGCCTGGTCCTGCTTGTCCTATTTATTTGGGCTGTATTGACAGGGACCTAAAGGCTTTTCTGCATGGTATGGCTGGTGCAGCTTAGCCTGATTTTAGGTTGGGGTCTTCTGGTATCATAGGACAAGTGATCAAGAACAGTGCTTCAACAGGCCTGGTCTTGTTTGAAAACTGGCCTTTAAAATCAGATTGTCCCACTAATTCTCTGTCAGTTTATGAAATGCTGTCATTAGGTGATGGAAATATTAACATGTACTTTAGCTGGGCCATGTGAAAAGTGCAAATGGGTCATCCCAATGGTACACGTGGGTGTTTTGTACAGAGTAATTCAGGGTCACACTCGGATACCATTTTAGTCATTCTGCAAAAGGTTCTGTGGGACACCCAAGGGCGTTGGCCAGCAAAAAACTAAATGAGTAAATGGCTTTTTTTTTTTTTTTTTTTTTCTCCTTTGCACTGCCATACAGGGTGCAGAGTTAAGATGACCCCTTGCTAGCTCTCTTTCACAGGAATACAGATGTGCCCAGGCTGTCGTGACTGTGGGTTTGCTGATCACTTCTCTCTGCTGTGGTGGGCAGTGGCTGACTTTGATCAAAAGGGATGTATTTGGCTGTGGGTGGATGTACTGTTCCCACCTCTGGCTTTATCTGCTCTTCCTGCTGTCTCTGCTGAGAGCAGCAGCAGCTCGGATAATCTGTGATGGAAGATAAGGTTATTTAGCATTCTTAGACTTAGCTTTTTATTGAAGAGTCCTGAACATGGGCGTACTCTAGGGTATGCCATCCAAACATAAGTAAGGGGAGTGTTTGTGAAAACTGCATGTGGGTCTGAAACTGTTCAATCCCAAGCAACTTAAAATAAGAGTGATATCTATTTAGACTGAGGAACTGATTCAAGGAAAATGGGGAGCCCTGAAACAAATCTGAATTGCATTTTTGCATGGACCTCAACAGGAGATAAACAGAGTCATTCTTCGCAGTTTACAGGTGTGGTACAACACATTCCTGATGCAATACATACTTTTTATGATTTTCCTATTGTTGCAGTAGAGTGTTGGCTTGGTAGCTTAAGGACTGAAAGAATTAATATATTTGGTTTATATTCATGAGGTACCTAGCAGCCTCAGCCAGCAATCGGGGCTCTTTCATATAACATTATGCAGGTTTCTAAAAGAGTAGTAAAAAGCCTTTTGACCATGCTATGCAGTTTATCAGTTTCCTACAGCTTTAAACCCAGAATGGTTCCGAGGGCATGTGTACAATGAAGGTTTAAATCAAATATGAGTGATATAATGTAGGAATATTAAAAGAAAAACTAGTTTGATGTCAGCAGTTTTGACCAATGTAGAATCAGTTTTTAGCTTTTCTACAAAAGCAGCAGCTGGTTTAGTACTCTGGGGCTAATCAGAAGATGGAACACACTCAGAAAATGTGGGCAGGAGAGCTTTGTAAGTAAATATTTCCTCTCTCACAAGGCAAGATGTTTATTGTTTAACAAACATAATGACAGGAAAGGACTGACTCTCCCAAAATCATGAGATGTGTTTGCTTAGTCTTCAATGTACCACAGAAGTGGTGATAAAGTAGGTGTGGGCAGAAGGAGGAATGGGCACGTTACTTGTGGCTGAAGCACCGAACTGCTGGAGGAGTGTGTCTGGGTGCTTGTGGAGAGCCAGGCGTGTGGGTCTGTGCTCAGCATGGGGTGCTCCGTGGTCCCCAGGGGTGTTTCCCCGCTGCTCAGGGCCTCTCCCTCACGGTGTTTGTGGCCCAGTCTTAAGCCCTTCTCATTCTGCTGGCAAAAGACCCAAGCCTGGGCTGGAGGCTGTTCTCAGTGGTGTTCTCCTGCCTGCCTCTTGAAAGACACCAAAATGTTTGGTTTTAGCTTCTGTTTCTATGGTGGTCTCTCCCATTAGATTAAATAAAATTGGAATTAAGGAACAAGATCTAGAGTTCAGGGTTTGAGCATCTCAGGTGAAGGTCCTTCTAGCTGGCTGGCTAGGGTAACCTGTGTGTGTGGAAAGGTTGTGTGTTCTTTCTGGCCAAGTGAGCCTTACTCATCTAAATTTAGACAGAAAAGCTGCGGATCCATCAGATTGACTCTGGGTTTCATTCAGTGCATCAGAATCTCCTGCTTCAGTGAGTACCTGCACCATTTTTTCTCAACCAAAAGGTGATGCAAGAATATAAGCAGGAGTCCGTCTGTGATCCAGAAGGAGCCTCTTGGCCCACTCTGCAGGCAGGTCTTCATTTGTCCTGGAGACAATGCTGCTAGAAAGATGAAATTTGGTACTGTGGAGCTCACAAAATAGATTTTTTGGCTATTTCTGATCCTGTTGCTCACTTAATTATAGGACCTGAATAAGTGTACCTTTTGGTATAAATATTACTAATGTTGGCAGTAATCGAAGGTGAAACTGGCAAATGTATCTACTAAGCCATTTCACCAAGTAATCATTTATGAGCATAGCTCTATTAATTTGTTTAGTCAGATGCAGAGAAGCAATAAAAGTGATTGACTAAAAACAATTAAAACAGTAAAAGTAAATTGTTGTGTGCATTAAAACCTGCTGAGCCTGTCAGATGAAAATTGTAGGTTTAAATGTGAAAATTAAAGCTATTGATTTTAGCTGGTATGTATGTGGCTATCGGAGTCCTAATTTGTTGTAGCTTTCTTAGCTAAAAGTTGTTGAGAGAAGAGTAAAGATAATCCTAAAACTCATTCCCCAAAAGACTTAAATGATCAGAAAGGCATATATGATAAATACTTGTGTTGTCTCAGGAAGATGGGAAGGTTTGTTTCTTTTTTTAGAAGACTTATATTAACTGTCAGTATCTCAATGCTGCAGAACTGAATATAAATATTTACCAATACTGGTAATTTATTGCACTTCAAAGGAGATGAAGAATGAGACATTGACATGAAAGAAAATACAGCATTGATACAGACTAGATTACAGGGCTTCTCGCCTAATTTATGTGTATGACTTTATTGTCATTTTATTTTTATGTGTTACAGTAAATCTTGCATTCAGTGAACTATTATTTTTTAGTATTCAATTAAAATGATAGCACAAAAAGAGTGTTATATCTAGACAGGTATTAAGGGATAGTGCTGGGGAATAAGA